TGATTTCAGAGAGAGGAAGGGAGGGGGGAGAGAGAGATAGAAACATCAATGATGAGAGAGTCATTGACCGGCTGCCTTCTGCACTCCCCTGAATGTGGATTGAGTCCGCAACCCGGGCATGTGGCCTGACTGGGAATCAAACCTCGATCTTCTGGATCCTAGGTCAATGCTTAACCGCTGGGCCATGCCCGGCCAGGCTGGCTGCTTTTAAGGTTCTTCTCTTTACATTTGGTTTTTAAGAATTTGACTATGATGTGCCCAGGGATTTTTTTTTTTTCTTTTTTCCTTTATATTTATACTTCTCATGGGTTTTTTGGTTTTTTTATTATTATTACTATTTTTTTAGTGTTTTGGGTATGAGATTTGATGCCTTTCATCAGTTCTGGAAAGTTCTTAGCCATTTATATTGTCAGTATATATTTTGCCACATTTTTCTCATCTTCTTGGGCTCCAATTATTGTCTCATACATCTTAGATGGATTTTTAAAAAAATTATTGTTTTACTTTTGGCTGTTTTTTAAACCTGTTTAAATATTTCTTGATTCTTTTTTCTTTTAAATTGCCAAAATTCTGTACAACCAGTGATTTGTTTTTAATTTCAGATTAGTATTTTTCAGTTTTAGAATTTTATTTCGTTTCTTTTTCAGTTTCTCTTTCTGTGCACTGATTTCCTGTTCACTCATTCATTATGATTATCTTTTTATTTTTTCTGTGAACATTGTTAAAGTAGCTACTTTAAAATTATTTGTAAATTTCAACATCTGAGTCACTTCATGGTTGATTTTCATTAATTTCGTATTCCTTTGAACATGGGTAAAATTTCCCCAGTTCTATATAATTCTGGTAATTTTATCCTAGATATCATTCATTGACTTTGTTTTTCTGAAGATTGATATTTTTATTAGCCAGTTACCTTTGCTCAAGTCACAATCTAAACTTTGTCACCACTCTGATGGGCAGCAGCTGAAATCTCTCTCTAGTTTTTTTTTTTTTAAATTTAACTTTTCACTTACAGTTTACATTCAATATTATTTTGTATTATTTTCAGGTGTACAGGATAGTGGTTAGCTAATCAGTCATATACTTTACAAGGTTTCCCCCTGATATTTCCAGTATCCATCTGGCACCATACATAGTTATTACAGTATTGACTATATTCCCTATGCTGTACTTTAAATCCCCGTGACTATTTTGTAACTATCAATTTGTAGTTCTTAAATCCCTTTACCTTTTCCACCAACCTCCCTCAGCTCCCCTCCCCTCCCCTCTCGCAACCATCAGTCTGCTCTTTTGTATCTATGAGTGTTTCAGTTTTATTTTGTTCTTTAGATTCCATATATAAGTGAATCATAATTGTCTTTTTCTGATTGGCTTATTACACTTAGCATACTATTTTCTAGGTCCATCATACTGTCGAATGGTAGGATTTTTTTTTTTTATGGCCGAGTAACATTCCATTGTATATATGTACTACTGCTTTTTTTTAATCTACTTGTTTATTGATGTGCACTTGGGTTGCTTCCAAATCTTGGCTATTGTTAATAACTACAATGAACATAGTGGTGCGTATCAACTTTCTAATTAGTGTTCTGGTTTCTTCAGATGTATACCCAGAAGTGGAATTGCTGAGTCATAAGGCAGTTCCATTAAAAAATGTTTGCGGTATCTCCATACTGTTTTCCATAGTGGCTGCACTGATCTGCACTCCCACCAACATTGTACAGGGGTTCCCTTTTCTCCACATCCTTGCCAACACTTGTTTGTTAATAGTAGCCATTCTGACAGGTGTGAGGTGATAGATATCTCATTGTGGTTTTTAATTTGCATTTCTGTGATAATTAGTGACATTGAGCATCTTTTCGTATGTCTGTTGGCCATCTGTTCTCTTTAGTTTTTTTAGGCTGCTAGACATCTGTTGTGTTCATACATAGATCAGTGGTCAACCAGAGATTTGGGTAGAGTTTAACTGTAGAATTTGGTGTTCATTCTCTGATTCTCTCCTTCCTGGAATTTCTCACCTCTCGTCCACCTCTTGTGATAGCTTCAAAATCTGTCCTCCGATTCTTTAAGCTAGTAAGATTGCTGATTTCTATTTGAGTTCTAGCCAACCAGGCACCAGTTGGGGCCTGTTGCCTTCAGGTGAAAATCCTAGAAAAAGGAGGTCATTCATCCAGTGCCATGCCTTTCCTCTGACTGTTAACTTCTCTGGGTTTGGCTTGTTGTTTTTTCCCCCAGTTTTTTTTTTCTTTTGTCTTTTTTTTTAAATTTTTTAAAAATATATATGTATCTTTATTGATTTCAGAGAGAGGAAGGGAGAGGGGGAGAGAGAGAGATACATCAATGATGAGAGTCATTGATTGGCTGCCTTCTGCACCCCCCCTGCTGAGGATCAAGCCTGCAACCATGCCTGGCCGGGCTTTCCAGTGCTTTCTGATAGTTGACTTATATTTTTTCCAGAATTTTAGCTGTCTGTGGAATGCTACTTCAACATGAACAGAGGCAAAACTTTACTGAATACTTTTAAAGATAAACTCATGTTGCTTTTTTGTATACAATCTATAATTGCTCTTTAATATTCTACTGTAAGTATCCATCATTTTCCTTTTCCATTCACCTAGTGTTACATAGACCTAGGTTATCCAACTCCCTGATAGTATAAGCAGTGCCATTTAGAACATTACTTATAGGAAGGTTTCTTTGGCCTATGTATCCCAAGAGTGAGATTGTTAGATTCTAGCATATTTTCAGACATAATTTCATGAGTAATCCTCTTCCAGGAGGGCATTAGTGGTTTTTGTTTTTACTCACATCCCCACAATACTTGTGGTTAACCCAACTTTCTTATGTTTGTCAGTCTGATGGGTAGAAGGTGGCATCTTATTTTAACTTGCATTTTCTGGTTTCTAGTGATGTACACGTTTCCACATGTTTTTCACCTTTTAAGTGTTTTTATGTCCATTGCCACTTTTTCTGCTTATGTGTTTCAGGTCAGAACTTTAGTCTTCCTTGTGATTTGTGCTTTTTTGGCCATGTCAAATAAGTTCTTTCACATTTCAAGGAAATATTCTTCTACATTTTCTTTTCTTAGCTTTATTTTTTTACCTTTCACAGTTGCCTGTTTTTTGTATATGGTATAAGGTAGAAATCCAACTTCATGTTTCTCAATATTCAACCAGTAGTTTTCAAATTTTTTTTTTTCCTTACTAGTTTTTGGAAGTATGTTTTAGTGTTTATTAAGGTAATTCACAGAGTATTCTTCCTAAGATATAAACCTGATCATATTGCTTGAATTCATTTCAGTGGAACTCCATTGTCTTAAGATAGTCTATAGTCTTTAACATGGTTTAGGAAGGTCTCTGTGAAGTTGTATTTGCATGTCTCTGCATTTGCTGCCCAGCCTGCTAGTATTCTTAAACTTAACACGTGTTTTGCTCTGGCCGGGTGGCTCTGTTGGTGCATCGTCCTGTACACCGAAACAGTTGTGGGTTTGATTCTAGGTCAGGGCACATACCCAGGTTGTGGGTTCAGTCCCCCAGTTGAGGTATGTATGGTAGGTAACCGATCGATGTTTCTCTCGCACATCGTGTTTTTCTCTCTTTCCTTTCCTCTCTCTCTAAAAATCAGTAGAAACATATCTTTGGGTGAGGATTAAAACAAACAAACAAGCTTTACACGTGTTCTTTTTTCCCTTTGGGAAATACCATACTATTATTGTAGATAATACAATATGTTTTACTCACTTTTCTCTCTGTATTCTTCACTACACTGTTGTCCCAGCAGTTTCTCTTATGTACTAGGTGTTCAATAAATATTTATCAGTGGAAGGAATTTAGTTGAATAACTTGGTCTTTATCCTTCATTAACTGTCTGATTGACTTTTTCAGACCAGATTAATGTTTAGGGGGAACTAATTTAGCTGACGAATAAAAGTTTATATAATAACTACTCTTAATCTCAATAGACAGTTCTTTCAAATCTTCCTCATGTTGACGTACTGTATTTATTTAGCTTTTTATGTGTTTCATTTGTTTTATTTGTTTCATTTGTTTCATTAGCTTTTTACTTATCTCATTTGATCCTTAAAACAACTCTAGATAGAAAAATCAGGCACTAACTCTGTTTTATGGATGTTGAATTACAGTTTTAAGTGATTTGCCTGAGGCTCACACAGCTAGTTTTGTATTTGAGCATACTTCTTTGGAGAAAGATTTGTTTGCTCCAGCAGCTATGTACTGTTAGTGATATGAAAAAAGCCACTTCAGTCCTTTTTTTTTTCAAAGTATGTTTTAAAGGTAATATTTATGAGGTATTTTACTGGCTTTTCCTTCCCTTTTTTTTTTGAGAAGTTACCTTAAGCCTTACGACTAGCAGTAATAGGTTTCAGTCATATCAGTACTTTGGGGGAGAGAACTGTGGGTAAATGGTTTCATTTAGAGATTTGCCTATGGAACGTTAAATATTATAAATATTGTAATACATTACAAAGTGTCACTACGAGAAATTTGATGTCTTTAAAATCATGTTTGATATATTTTTTCATAGGATTTTTTTATATGCTGGTAACTGCATCTTTTAAACTTAAGATTTTAACTTCTTTTGCACTTAGAATTTGTAAAGCATTTTGGCATGTGCTCTATTCTAATATTAAGTTGCTTGGGAACTTGGTATTTCTAGACAAAGTTGAAGTCATTTATGTTATTAAATAGGTTGAGATGATTTTCTTTTTAAATGTTGAGATTTGGGAAATTCTTAAAAGGTCATATTTTAGTGCTACTTTATTATATTGAATGTTTTACTTGTTTTAGGTACTCTAAAGCATGACCTATTAACCACAACTATCTAGTATTGAAGGACCATTCAGTAATGGAATTAGTACTTTTTCTTTCAGTTGGTTTAAAAATATGCTTAAAGTATCAGTATTATGTAAATATTAATATATGAGCAGGTTCTTCAAAGATATTAATTTTATTTTTCTTTAAATCATTTTTTCTGCTCTTTAGAGGAAGTATCATTCTGCAAAGGAAGCTTATGAACAACTTTTGCAGACAGAAAACCTTTCTGCACAAGTAAAAGCAACTGTCTTGCAACAGTTAGGTATGTATGATTATACATTTAGCATACTATAAGCACTTCTCTTTATGTTTTTTACATCTCAGGGATGATAAATATGTGGTATTCTATTTCTTTTCCACCTTTTGCCTAGAATTGATAGAATTAATCTGAACCCAACATATTTTCACCCTTTGCCAAACATTGTCCATTTCATAGTCCATCTCATTACATTCATTAGTGCAGCTACTCCTTTTAAATTTTCAAACTTATTCTCTAATACTTAACGCATGGGCAAAGGGGATTGAATAACATTCTTTATGTCAGATATGCTAAGCACTCGGTGAAATTAAGTGATTTGCTTACAGTCACTTAGTGGTTCTATTGGTACTATTAACTAAAATTTTTTATCTAAAAATTGTGGAATATCTAACACTATATAGAGTTTATGTATACATGGAAATCTTTTCTAACATTGAAGGTAAAGGAATGTAGCCATTTGGATGTAATATGTCACTATTACCAAGAAGATGGTGATGGAGTTCTCCAACATTTAATTTTGTTGCTTAGTTATTGAGTTATGTTTCTTGTCTGTATTTGGTATTTGGGTTGTTTCTGTTTTGTTTACTTGTTTTTGGTGTGGACAAATAATTTATTCTTAATTTATATTCAACATAACATTATGAATGTTTTCATAATGAGACTTTTATGTAATTTTAAAATCATTTAAGCTTAGATTTTATCAGTTATGATATTAATGTATATCGTATGATTAATTATATAAAATAAACACATTGCCTACATATAAAAGTTTTGTTTTTAATTTAATCTCTAGTTAGAATTTTACTTGAGTTATCCATACTTTAAAAAATTATAGAAGTACTTAAGTATTTATTTTTAATGATGTATATACAGTATTTGAGTAATGTGAATTTGTATCTTTAAATATAAACAAGTTTATTGGTACAATAAAAAAGGGTTTTGTGTTCTTAATTACAGAGTGTTGCCTTTAGAATAGACGGCTTACTCATTCAGCTAATATTTGAATATGAAGTGCTTTTTCTGTCCACACTATTTATAATTAAGTTTTTATGTATTTTAGCTGCCGTGAAGAAGGCATCAGTAGCAGAAAAACATACACGCGTTTTAAATTTAAGAAGTGCATTGAAACAGTTTTGGTTTTAGTTATGTCTGAGTCACCTGTCCTCTTTGGTACTGGCTTACCATATTTCAGAGTGTACAAGTAAATTTTTCATGGTTTTAAAAGGAAAAACACTTCCCCTAATTGAGTCTTAATTTATGCCTGAACATTAATCCTTTCTACTTACTCGTTCCTGCTGCTTAAGCAGCTCCTTTTAGAGCCTCTTATTCTAGGTCCTGTTCTTAATAGTTGCAGGAGAGATAAGGGAGGAACAAATGAATAATCATGTGATTGGCTTATATTTCTATAAAACACGGTAACTCAACCCTCTGAAAATATCTTTTGCAGCACAGCACCTATAATGTTAGAAAATAAGTGTCCTTATTTGTTATACATACCATAGTCTACACACAAAGAACAAGAGTTGATATTATGCACTTGAATTGATCCACAACTGAAATAGGATTCCCCAGCAAATTAAACCAAATTACTTATTGAAGGTTTAGAATATGTTATTCCATGATCCATCCAATTCTTTATTTATAAATAATAAAAATTGTATTTTTTTAAGGTGTTCATGATTTAAAAAATATATATGTTTTTCTCGTTGACAATATTACAGATTTCCCCCATTTTCTCCCCCTTTGCCCTCCTCCACCAAGCCCCTGCCCAACCCCAGGCCTTCACCACACTATTGTCTGTGTCCATGGGCTATGCATACATGTATATAAGTTCTTTGGTTAGTCTCTTCTTGTCCTTCACACCCTCTCCCCTCTTAGATCTGTTACTCTGTTCCATGCATCCGTACCTCTGAACCTATTTTGTTCGCCAGTTTGTTTTGTTCATTAGATTACACATATAAGTGAGATTATGCACTATCTAAATTTATTAATTAAATGTTTGTGGTACCCATTTTGTAACATTCTTATTTGTACCACTGAGTATACTTTTCTTACAGTCTTGGGTTATTTTAAATTGTCAAATGCTTTATAGTTGTTTTTTTTATGTAAGTTGTGAATATATGGGGCCAACACCAATAACGTAGGGTGTGTATGTGTGTTTTACTCTGGATTGTCATTGATTTTATAGCCTTATATTGGGTTAATACACTGTTTTGGAAATTCTTAAAATGAACATAAATTTTTATGTGCAACAGTGAATTAAATTTAACATCTTTATATTTTTTGTTTCATAACTTGGAATTTTTTCAGTACCAAAATTAGAAACTATAGTTTGTGTTAATTCAGTGCTTAAAATTGTTTCAATTTCTGTGGAATAAATGTTCTTTATAGCTTTGACTGTACCTTCCTGTGAGAAATAGGCTTTTATATGGCCAGAAGTGGTAGTTTGAAATTTTTGGAGTCTGTACGCCAAACTAAATGAATTGACTGAAAAGAGTATTTTTATTTGTTATCTGTTTGGTATTAACAGTAGAAGAATAGTTCAATCATTTAGGTAAATATTTTAAATCATTTACTATAGGTTGGATGCATCACACTATAGATCTCCTGGGAGATAAAGCCACCAAGGAAAACTATGCTATTCAGTATCTCCAAAAGTCCTTGGAAGCAGATCCTAATTCTGGCCAGTCCTGGTATTTCCTCGGAAGGTGAGACTTATCGGACACTTAAGTTTTGTTTTTGTTTATTCCAGCTGAGAGATTTGAATTGTGATCTAAAATGTTAGTTTATATTTGTAATCTGATCATTGCATTTTCCCTTTTAAATATAACAAAGATTTCTGGAAGTTAAAAAGTAAAGCTTCTGAATGTGGTGGTTTTCTCACAGCATAATCTGTTCTACCAGGACATTTCTTATTTTGCTTATTGGATTTTCATATTGCTGTTTTTTTAAAAGTCCTATCAGATAGTAATTCTTTATTCAAGTATTTAAATGCCTTTCCTTCTGATTTTTAGTATTTTCTTTATGTGTCAGTTTAACAAAACAATTTCTCAGTCTGCTTGGTGACTACCCATAGCCAGTGGAACTTTGCTACTTATAATTTTGATTAATGATATATTCCTTAGAATGGACATATATGATTAATAGATCTAATCACAGTTCTACTTGAAATCTTACAGTGAGAAAGTAGATACATTATTGGATTTGTTGGAAAGGAGAAGTGTCATGTAATGAAAATAGGTTTCTGAAAGTCTGTAAACTTCTCTCTGTACTTTGAATGTATGAATTGTGTGTGGTGATTCTCCGAAATATTTTGGACCATCATCAGAATCTATTTGATTCTTAATTGGTTTTAGCTTTTATAGCATGGTGGAAAAATCAATGTACTAAGAGCTGAGAGACATGGATTCAAGCCTTGGCTAGGCTACTATTTGTGGAATCATGGATGGTACAGTTAATCCTTTTGAGGCTTTAATTTTCTTTTAACCTATTAGATTAGTGGCTCTCTGTAGGGGCTATTTCATTATGTCTGGAGACATTTTGGTCATCACATCTATGGGGAATGCTTTTGGCATTTAGTGAGACAACCCTCTATAGTAAAAGATTAACTGGCCCAAAATGTCAATAATGGTGAGGTTGGTAAGCCCTGGGTTAGATTATCTGTTAAGTGCCTTCCCACTCTAAAGGTTTCAGTTTTATGATTTCTTTTGAAATCATCCTATTTTTGTTTTATTTTTATTTTTTAGTTGAATTTATTGGGGTGACATTGGTTAATAAAATTATACAGGTTACTGTGTTGCTTAGAATGTTTTGTTGTGAGAAATTTTTATAAATTTATATTTTATATTAGTTTCAGGTGTGCAGCGTAGTGGTTAGATAATCATGTTTTACAAAGTGGTCTCCCTGATATTCTGAGTACCCACTTGGCACTGTACATAGCTATTACAATATTATCAACTATATTCCCTATACTATACTTTACATCCCTGGGACTATTTTTTGACTACCAATTTGTAGTTCTTAATCCCTTTACCTTTTTTACCCAAAGAAATTATATTTTAGAAGTTATTAAAGCTCTGAAGGAAGACCTCAAATATAAGTAAGCAAGTTTGGGATTTGATGACCCTAATATTTCTGAGGCTTTTTATTACTTAACCTCTGCATTCAGGTCTGTGTTGAAGATTGAATTTGCCCCTCATTTGGCATGTGTATATCATAATGAAAGTGTAATGTGGTAATGCTGTTATACTAGCACCAGTCACTTACTATGTTATCACAGAACTGCAGAGTGTTAGAGCTGGGAGGGATCAGGGAGGTCACCTAGTTCACCCTGTAAACCCTATCAGTTTACAGATAATAGAAAGTGAGTTCAGAGGAGTAAAATTTTTTTTGTCCAAAGTCACAGTCACACACTTAACTATCAGAGCATGGACTAGATCCTAGGTTCACCAAGTTCTTTTTTAATTACACAAACCTGTCTCAGGGGAATCTAGTTAAGTTTATTAGAGGAAACTAATAAAACTGGTTGGCAGTTGGACTGGGGCATCTGTTTGGACACATTGGTTTTCTACTTTCACTTTGAAGGAATGGAATGTGAAAACAGTGGTTTTGGGAATTACTGTTTATTGTTCCCAGCGGTTAGACAAATTTTTCTATAAATCTGAGATTTGGCTTTGATTTAACAACAAACAGCATGTTTTCCTGTCTGTTAAGCATTCCCTTTCTTTGTGGTGTCTGTGCCTGTTTCACATTGTTAATGACCTCTTCTGTAATTCTCCTCTTACAAAACAGTTTGCAGATGCACTCTGATACTTCTTAGTCTCAGTCATTGACATTTCTTATATTGCCCAGTCCACAAGATAAGTGATTCCTTAGGCTTATTTTTACCTCTTTCTTAGTAGGTGTCCTATATTCTTATACCCTCTCTTCCACTAGATTTCTACACTCCAAGGTTATTAAACTCCAGGACCACATCTCCTATACTTTACACATTTTAATGTCTTCACCTCATGTCAAAATCAGCATATTTCAAATTTCATTCGTCATATTCTTCCCCAAACCAGCTTCTCCTTTTATTTTTGCCAGTGATACTTAACTTTCCCCCCCTCCATTTAATCAGGCTTAAAAACTAAGTTATAACCCTACTCCCACCCCATGACTATCTAATCAATCTGTCACAAAGTTGTTAGCCTTTTGATTTATTGTTGCTCCCATCTTTTTCTTCTTTTTAAAAATATGTTTTTATTGATTTCAGAGAGAGAGGAAGGGAGAGGGAGAGAGAGATGGAAACATCAATGATGAGAGTGATTGATTGGCTGCCTCCTTCATGCCCCCTACTGGGGATCGAGCCTGCAACCTGGGCATGTGCCTGACCTGGAATTGAACCAGGAATCAAACCGTGACCCCCTGGTTCCATAGGTCAACACTCAAACCACTGAGCCACGCCAGCTGGGCTCTCCCATCTTTTTCTTTGTGCCACTTCTATCACTTTAACCCCAATTGTGGCCTGTTTCAAACCAGTGAGTGTAGCCACCTTTTTTACTGTCCATAATTTATTTTCCTTTCAGTGCATTGTCAACAGATTAACATTCCTGTAAAATTCTTTCATTGTGCCATTCCCCTTGACAGGAGGACAAATGTCAGGGAATTCTTGGGCTGGATTTAAAACTCTACTCTTTGTATCTATGTTATCTTATATACATTAGGTTTTGTGCATACTGTTCAAACAGCATTTTGAAATGCCTTCTCTCATCTTCTCTCCCTGAATCAGTGGTTCTCAGACTTTTGGATTACATTATACAGTAAAATTTCAAAGAATGTGAGAATTAAAATGTGATGGAAGGAGACTGAACTTGGGGTGGTGAACACACAATACAATAAACAGATGATGTATTATAGAATTCTACACCTGAAACCTATATAATTTTATTAATCAACGTCACCCCACTAAATTCAATTTTAAAAACCTGGTATTTGGGCAAGTAAAAACATTTAAAAATATTTTACTGTTTACTCAGCCAATAGTATTTCATAATAAGTCAATTATAGTACAGATATTAATTAGTTTAATGGAAAACTTAAATATGTATGTATATGTTGTTCTTCCATTTTTGTTTGTTGGCCAAATTGCCATATACTGGCTAGTAATTGGAAATCACTGATCTAAACAATATACATATACACATGTTCAGATCCCTTACTCTTACCTTTCTTGCCTTTCCAAATCCTGTAGTGTCTATTGTAGTATCTTCTACTCTAAATTTTTAAAAAAAATATGTTTTTATTGATTTTAGAGAAAGGAAGGGGGGGAGAGAGAAAAACATCAATGATGAGAGAGTAGAATCATTGATCGGCTCCCCTCCTGCATGCCCCCTACTGGGGATCAAGCCCACAACCCAGGCATGTGCCCTGACCAGGAATCAAAGCGTGACCTACTCGTGCATAGGTCAACACTCAGCCATGGAACCACACCAGCCAGGCTACCCCGAATTTCTCAAACTGGTTATTAACTATGCTAGCCATTTAATATGGTATTGTGACATTTATAATGTGTCTTTAATTCTCAACTAAATTGAAAGCTCCTTGAAGACAGGGACTGGGTTTGTTTTTTTCTTAGTGCCAAGCACTAAGAAGATAATTTCTTTATTTATAATTTCAGCTGCTGTTCTATGTATCTATCACATACATCTGCATTAAAAAACGACAGGTTTTTGAAAGTTTAATCCTCCTTTGCTACTCTTACTATTTTTGATAATTAACTTGATATTAACTATGTCTTATGTTTGTATTTTTTTCATGAATTAAAGAATTATTGTCCTCATTATTATTATTTAGGAAAGGAGAATTGAAATCTGATTCAGCAATTCTTACCAACATAGAATGTTTTTCTTTGTTTTTAACTCTTTATTCTTACTGTATAGAAAACTGGAGATCAAGTTATATAAGTAGAGTGGTGTGTGTGTTTTCAACTCTCAGTATTGTAAATATTGAAGCGATAAGACCTTTAATTTTTTTAAATAGTGTTCATTAATGCAGCATATTTTAGCACCTATGAGATAGACTATAATATAGTTTATTGAAGGGTTATAGTATGCATTATAATTATCATATACATGACATAAATATTTTAGCTTATTAGGTTTTTTTTATTTGCTTTGATATATAGTCCATCCTTTCAGCAGATTAATTTGTATTAATGGAAATTTCCTGATTTATTCCCCCTCCCCCTCCCTCCTCTTAGGTGCTATTCAAGTATTGGAAAAGTTCAGGATGCCTTTATATCTTACAGGCAGTCTATTGATAAATCAGAAGCAAGTGCAGATACATGGTGTTCAATAGGGTAAGACATTATATAAAAATAATGGTATTGTAATTGATACACAAAGACAGTTGCATCACATATAATGTACTTGGCAGTTTATATCATGTTATGAAGCTAAGCAGTTCTTCTTTGTTGACTTATTTTTTCTTAATTTCTCTTTCCAGTGTGCTATATCAGCAGCAGAATCAGCCTATGGATGCTTTACAGGCCTATATTTGTGCTGTACAATTGGACCATGGCCATGCTGCAGCCTGGATGGACCTAGGCACACTTTACGAATCCTGCAACCAGCCTCAGGATGCCATTAAATGCTACTTAAATGCAACCAGAAGCAAAAGTTGTAGTAATACCTCTGCACTTGCAGCACGAATTAAGTATTTACAGGTAAAATTTTTAAGTAGCAGTTTTTTTTAAAGGCACGTTTCCCCATGACACTCAGGCAGGAGGAGGGTGGCTGGAAAGTTTGTCTAGTTGTGTTGATGTCTATAATTTGTTTCCATATTTTGTAAAACATACCATAGCTTATAATATTATTTTACTTTTCATTTTAAATAAGATACGCTGTATTTTAAAAGATGCTCTTTTGCGCATTTACTTTGTTGATGCATATTAATCTACATAATTTTTCCTATGTACTGTCTACATTTTTAAGTTGTCATAGCATTTTAGAGAAAAGAACACGAACACTGTCTTTCACTCTTGCTTGGAGTTTCATGAGAAGACAGCTATGAAAACTCTAAAAACAAAGCTCAGCTTTGTTATAATTCTCACAAAGGTTTATATTTCGGTTACCCTCTTTATACTTAGTATCTTTCTGAAACCTCAAATTAAGAATCTATTTTCTTAAAAAAACAAAAAAACGATTAGTTATAGCATTTAGGAAAATTAGTGGACTTGCTCTTACTCAAGTAGGCTTGTGTTAAATTTGCTTTTTACATAATTTTTCCTAGGCTCAGTTGTGTAACCTTCCACAAGGTAGTCTACAGAATAAAACTAAATTACTTCCTAGTATTGAGGAGGCATGGAGCCTACCAATCCCCGCAGAGCTTACCTCCAGGCAGGGTGCCATGAACACAGCACAGCAGGTGAGAAGTTGGGTTATGTTCTGCAGGTGCCCAGCTTTAAGGGTTCTTTTCAATCTGTAGTGGTCAAGTATATTTTACTAAGCACAGGAGGCTTTTGTTAATGAAAAGCCATTTAATTTAACTGTGAAGGGAATCTAGATCAAAGTAAAACTCCCTCTGATATGGGAAGAAATTTTGGGTGCCAATTTAGAACCTTTGTGCATTTTCTGATTTCGAAGGAGATTTCTTAAAATACTGCAGTGGTTTGTTTAACTTTTAATGCAAGTTTTTCAAAGGAAGGTACACATTCCTCCATTGATGATTCATTTGATTTTGATTTTCAATAATTGCAATCAGCGATGTCCACATAGCTTTGAAAAGTATGCAGCTTGTAAAGTTTTATAATTTGAAGGAATGAATTAAGAATATATAGAACCCTATTTTTGTCTTCCTTCTGTGATTCTTAGGCATGTAAACCTCATCATCCAAATACTGAACCTGTATTAGGCCTCAGTCAAACACCAATTTCACAGCAATCCTTGCCACTACACATGATTCCTTCTAGCCAAGTAGATGACCTGTCCAGTCCTGCCAAGAGGAAAAGAACATCTAGTCCAACAAAGGTATATATTTTAGAGAAATAGAAAATCCTGTCAAAAAAAGAAACCCCCCAACTGCCCTGAACTTGTGCAGTTTCAACATCTCCTGTCCTTTATTTTAAATCTGTGGACATCAAAGAGTGAAAGGTTTGAGTTTTTCCATTCCAAATTCTTAGTATCATATTAAATACATAATGTAGGGATAAATTTGCATTCATCAGATCATTTTATTCATCTCCCTGCCGTTAAGACTGCAACACACTTCATTATCACTTTCTACTGACATTGAAATAAATTTAATGTTGGATCTAGTGGACAGAGTGATATTTAGGTTAGCCATTTGGGTCGTAGTTTAGGGGTGGGCCTTTTTGGGTGGCTTATTAAAGAAAATATTTTTTAAATTTGTGATTTTCCAAATTTATGCATGTAAAGCTTTGTTTAAAAGAAGTTTAATGTCATAACATCTTTTATATGTGAATATTCTAATCATAGTCATTTGGCTTCCATTAGTCATTATTTTTAACTCAATAGATTTCACCAAATATTTTTAAATTTCTTTTTATCAATTTTCCTCAGAATACTTCTGATAATTGGAGTAGTGGCCATGCAGTGTCACATCCTCCAGTACAGCAACAAACTCATTCATGGTGTTTGACACCACAGAAATTACAGGTATGTAAAATATGTTTTTTACGGATTGTTTTTTCTATCAAAAAAGAGTAGAGGTAGTAAGCTTTAAGTTTTTAAAGTATTAAAGTTGAATAACAGTAAACTCAACTAATGTGCACATAAGCAAAATGAACCCATGTTTACCAGACTAATAGAGATAATTCATTGTTGTTTTCATTTAGTTTTTAATTGGTAATATATTCAGATGGTTCAAACTGTGTCATTATGAATATATGGTATATAGAGTAAATTCTCTTTCTAACTTCTGTCCCTAATCAGTTCCTCTCCTAATAGACAGCCAGTGTTAGTTTGTCTTTCCAGAGATATGTCATTCATATACAAGAAAATATGTATCCCCCTTCTCTCATATATTATTTTTCTCCTTTTTTGTACAAATGGTAGAATGCTATATATACTGCTAATAATCTCTTTTACAGACCTTTTCTTGTCAATATATATAAAGAACTTCCTTGTTCTTTTATGGCTACAGCATCATATTTCTTTATGTAGATGTCATACCTTTATTTAAGTAGATCACTAGTTTTAGACAAGTTGTCTTCAAACTTTTCCTGTTCCAAATAGTGCTGCTTTGAGTGTACTTGTCATAATGTAATTTTTTAAAATGTCTTCATTGATTTCAGAGAGAGGAAGGGAGAGGGAGAGACAGACAGAAACATCAATGATGAGAGAGAGTCATTGATTGGCTGCCTCCTACATGCTCCCTGCTGGGATCTAGTCCACTACTGGGGCATGTGCCCTGATCAGGAACTGAACCGTGATCTGGTTCATAGGTTGATGCTGAACCACTGGGCCATGCTGTCTGGTCTCATCATGTATTTTTAAGCTTAAAGAGCTTTCTGTGTGAATACTGAAAAATACTGTGGTAAAGAGTAAAATTTTGTGCCCATTTATCTCAAAGATCACATTGTAGTAAATCTTCTTCAGATGAATGTTTATGTTTTTAATTGAGTTAAATTTGGTATATAACATTATATGTCTCAGGTGAAGAACTGTGTAATTCGACGTCTCTGCTCTACAAAGTGATCACTACCAAAAGTCTAGTTGTCATCTTTCACCATTGACCTTCTTCACCCATTTTGACCCCACTGCCCACCCCCTTCCCCTCTGGTAACCACCACTATTCTCTGTATCTATGAGGTTCATTTGTTTTGTTTGAATATTTTTTTCCTTCTTAACTTTCTCAAACTTCTTAAAAGACTTCATCTTGGGGTTGATTGCCATTGGTCAGAAATTAGTGTCTTTGACTAGAAAGTGATTCTGAGTTTATCTAGTCATTTCAGGGAAAGGTTGCTTAGAATAGTGAACTTGAGCTTGTTTCTTAGATATGCCTTTGACTATATTCTTTTTTTCTTCTTTTCTTCTTCTTCTAGCACTTGGAACAGCTCCGTGCAAATAGAAATAATTTAAATCCAGCACAGAAACTGATGCTGGAACAGCTGGAAAGTCAGTTTGTCTTAATGCAGCAACACCAAGTGTGTATAGCATTTTTCCCCCTAAAATTTGGTAGCATTTTGAGTATTTTTAATGACCAGAACATAGTTTTAGAGTATGTTCATGCCCACTTCTACTTTCTCTGAGTATTTGTGGAATTGAGTAATAATAATAATGGACAGATATTTTTAGGAAAAAAAGAGCTCTAAATTTAATTGTGAACACAAGACTTGGTATTTTATTATTTATTTACATGCTATTTTGTATGTATTCTAAGGGTTTATTTATATTATTTAATACTTAAGAGGCTATTTATCCTAAACTGAGGTGGAGTTCTTTAGTGCTTGTTTAATTTGAAGGATCTGGCGTATAAATGAAATAGAGTGAAATTTTGAAATCCCCTATTTTGTGATTCCGGAAAATACATAAATTCCAGAGTTGTCTTCCATAATATTCAGCTGCTTTCTTTTGTCAGTACTAAAGGAACGTTTGTTAAAAATAAAACCCTGTTTCTGCTTTTCTGAGGAAACTAATCTAAATATGAACGAACATAATTTTTTGTTTTTTAAGGTGTATACTTCCACCTAGAGAAATTAAATGTTAGGGTAAAATCAAAGATCACCTGGTTATATACCTTCATATTCTGATTCTTTCTCCTCTGGACCACACAAGCAGCATTTTTTTTTTTTTCCCCCATACAGATGAGACAAACAGGAGTTGCACAGGTACGATCTACTGGAATTCCTAATGGGCCAACAGCTGACTCATCACTGCCTACAAACTCAGTCTCTGGCCAGCAGCAACAGCTTTCTCTGACCAGAGTGCCTAGTGTCTCTCAGCCTGGAGTCCGCCCTGCCTGCCCTGGGCAGCCTTTGGCCAATGGACCCTTTACTGCAGGCCATGTTCCCTGTAGCACATCAAGAACGCTGGCAAGTACAGACACTGTTTTGATAGGCAATAATCACATAACAGGAAGTGGAAGTAATGGAAACGTGCCTTACCCGCAGCGAAACGCACTCACTCTACCTCATAACCGCACAAACCTGACCAGCAGCGCAGAGGAGCCGTGGAAAAACCAACTATCTAATTCCACTCAGGTAATAGGACTAACTGCCTTATTGGCTTCGCACATAATATTTGTCTTTATTTGCTTTTATGCATTTTGACAGAAGAAGAAATGAAAGTTTGAGGAACTGGTATTATAAGCATTTTTTAGTACTACAATGCTGTCACTACGTTGCGACTCGGTATATATGTATTTGCATTATAAAATTTATGCATACACACACACATAATCTTAGAAAATTTCAAAGGAAAAAGAAAATAGATCATACAGTTACCCCAAATCCATTGTTAATTTTCGGTAGCATTGTAAGCATTTATGTAATGTTACTTTAGTTCATTTCTGCATGTATTTGTCTACTTAAGATCTGGTGCTATGCTAGGTAGTAGGTATTAATTCTGGTAGGAGAAAAAGACCATTAATGAGGCATTCTTATAAATTACTATGAAGTGTGACTTAGATGGAAAAGTGCTATGAGAGTACCTAGGAGGGCACATAACCACAATTTTAGAGTGTTTAGAAATTAGGGGGAATTTGGAGCAGAGAGGGCTGGTAAAATGTGCCTAGGGTATAAATTATAAGTGTAGATTATTGTAGGTTAAGAGGGGAGGATGAAATATGAGGCTGAAAGAGGCAGAGAAAGTTGCCTAATTTGTCTTGGAGGCAAAATGGAGCCAGTAAAGCCAATAATGAACACTATTTTTATCAAAGATATGTGCCGTATTTTACTCAGTAGTTCACTGTTAGACATTTAATTTCTGTTTTTAATTTTGATATTTATGCACATAATTTTTCCTATATTTTGGATTGTTTCCATGGAACAGGTGCTTCAAAATGGGTCAAAGAGTAAGCATTTTAAAAAATGTTGCCAGTACTTATTGCCAAATTACTTGTACTTTTACTTGTCTACTATAAGATATATTTGACTTACTGGTGGTTAGCCTTATGTCATTGGTAAAACTGAGATAAGTTCTTTCTGTAATACTTCTAAGTTTATTCTTGAAGTGGCCTTTGTTGTGACCATCTCTTCTAGAGTGATTAATAGTTTTATTTATAATTAAAGAAATGTGGAACACCTACTATGTCCATGTCCTATTCAAGATTCTGGGGATAAATCAAAGAAAACATCCAAAAATGTCGTAATTTGTATAGGTAAATAGAAAGTAAATGTTACATATAGAATATTATGTAATGATATTAGTTCTGTGCAAAAATATGTTAGAAAAGGGAGCTGGATATTGGTGGTGGAGGATTTGCAATTATAACAGGATGGTCAGGGATGGCTTCGCTGAAAGGCGATACTTAAAGGCCTGAAAGAGAGAAGTGAGCCTTGAAGATATTTGTCATAAGAGCATTCTGGGTTTGGGGAGAGCAGCAAGGAACAATAGGCTCTAAGGAATGTGTGTTTTGCATATTTGAGGAAAATCAAGGTGGCAAGCATTGGAGCATGGCTGAGCAGGCTAGCAAAATGTGTGAAGAGGAGTAGTAGATGTGGTCCAGCTGGAAACATGCTGGCTAAATCATGTTCAGCCTTGTAGGCCATTGTAAGGGTGTTAGATTTTATTCTGAGTTAAATGGGAAACTATAGGGGCATTTTGAATAGATGAGTGTTGTGGTCTAACTTAGTTTTTATCTAGATCCTCTCTGATACTCTGGATAGACTAAAGGAGGCAAAAGTAGAAACGATGTGACCAATTTGGAGATTACAGCTATAATCCAGGTTAAAAGATGGTAGTGGCTCCACCGAGACTGGCAGCAGTAGAGGTCGTCAGCTTTTGGGTACACAGTTTACCTTTGAACAACACGAAAGTGCTAACCCCCATGAAGTTGAAAATTGGTGTGTAACTTTTGATTCTCCAAAAATTGAACTAATAATCTACTACTGACTAGAAGCCTTACCGAAAACATAGTCGTCTAACATATTTTATATGTTATATGTATTTATACAGTATACTGTATTTTTTTTTTAAATTTATCTTTATTGTTGAAAGTATTACAGGTGTCCCATTTTCCCCCCCAATTGACCCCCTTCACTTCGTGGCTTTCCCCTCCCCAGGTCTTCACCCCATTATTGACTGAGTCCATGGGTTATGCATATATGCATATAACTTCTTTGGTTAATCTCATCTCACCCTCCACCCCTCTTTCCTCTGAAATATGATCGTCTGTTGCATGCGTCAAAGTCTCTGGATCTATTTAGTTCATCAGATTCTTTTGTTCATTAGCTGCTTCTTAAAGAAGACCCTTCAGCTTTTCCTGTAGTGCTGGTCTGCTGGTGATGAACTCCTTTAGCTTTTCCTTATCTGTGAAGCTCTTTATCTGGCCTTCAGTTCTAAGTGATAGCTTTGCTGGGTAGAGCAATCTTGGTTGTAGTTCCTTGTTTTTCATCACTTTTAATATTTCTTGCCACT